GGCTCAGGCAATCCACTCACCTCAGCCTCCCAAAGGCCGGGGATTACAAGCTGAGCCACCAAGCCCGGCTATATCTTTATTTCATCCGCTTTTCAGAAACTGCTTGGTCCTGTTGTTTTCTATACTGTGTTTACTTGTAGTTCCTTTTCAGCCTGGTTGTAATGGCTAAAGACCAAAATTTACATATCCAACTTGGGGGGAGGGAGGATTTGTCAAAACCTGAATGCTCTGCTGGGCACAGTGGCTCACACCCCTCATCCTAGCACTTTGGGAGGCCGAGGTGAGAGGATCGCCTGAGCCCAGGGGTTCGAGACCAGCCTGGTCAACTTGGCGAGATCTCGTCTCTACAACAAACCAAAAAATTAGCCCGGGCGTGGTGGCGCACGCCTGAGTTCCAGCTACTCGGAAGGTTAAAAGGCAAGGATCACCTGAGCCCAGCAGGTCGAGGCTACGGTGACGGTGACTGTGCCACCGCACGCTAGCCTGGGCGACAGAGTGAGGCTCTGACTCAAAACAAAACTAAAAAAACCCTGAATGCTCGGTCATATGGGATTTGGTTGGAGCCTAAACTATCCAGCCCTGGGAGAATCCTGAATGTCCTAAAACCCCCATCTGAGAGTTTAGGAAAAACCAAGGACCAATCACAGTGGCCTGGTCAGATCCTAAACGTCCAAACATGGGAAGCTGGTCGGTAGTTAAATAACCAGCCCGGCTGGATTGGCAGGAACAAACCAAATGACCAACTCCGGGGGATTTGGTTGGACTTTACTGGGCCTGGGACGGCAGGGGCGTGGCCACGGTGGGCTCCCTGGGACCTGATTGGCTGAAACAGCCTCAACGCCCGACTACAGATTTGGTAGAAACTTGCTTGTGGAGTAGGGGGTGGGGGGCCTGAAACATCCTAAATCGCCATGTGAGACGGGTGGGGAAAACGCAGGGACTAACTTCAGGGGCCTGGTCAGATCCTAAAAGTCCAAACATGGTCAGGATGTCAATGTCCAGCCAGGTTGGATGGGCGGAAACAACCTCAATGTCCAACGCGAGGGGACCGCGCTCGAGTCTAGCCTGGGCAGGGCCTCTGCGATGGGGGATCCTGGGCGACCCCGCCCCCTCTCTGGCCTCAGTTTCCCCGCCTGTCAGCTTTGGCCGAACTCCGGGACGCCCGGCCCCGCTCCGCCCCAGCCTCACCAGGCGGTCCCGACCCGTGTACGACTCCAGCGCCGACGCCAGGCCGCTCAGCGACGCCATGGCAACTCCGCGTGACGTCACCTCGACGCCAGGGGGCGGGGCCGGGCCGCGTCCCCGGAGCGCTCGGAAGGCCCGCGCGCGCTCTGCGCAGGCGCGGCCGTGGCCCTTTGTCCCCGGCCGGGCCCTTTGTCCTCCGCGGCGGGGAGCTGGGCTTGCAAACTTGTGGCCTCCGCGAGTGTGCAGCTAGGGCCTTGCAGACCCACGGTGGTCCTCGGAGCTTCCCGCGTTCTGCCCCACGACGGCTTGACCGACTAACACACACACACACACACACACACACACACACACACTCAAAGCTAACCAACTGCCCACACGCTCAAAAAATATTGCTGGAGGCCCAGGCGGGAGAATCGCTTGAGCCCAGGAGTTCGAGACCAGCCTGGACAACACAGTGAGGTCTCGTTTTTACAAAAAATCAAAAAATAAACCAGTCATGGTGGCGTGCACCTGTAATCCCAGCTAGTAGGGAGGCTGAGGCGGGAGGATCGCCTGAGATGGGGAGGTCGAGGCTGTGGTGAGCTGTGATGGTGCCACTCACTGTGCTCTAGCCTGGGCGACAGAATGAGGCCATTTTAATATATTCCAAGCAAAACCACCAACCTGTTAGTAGTGACTCAAGAAGGGTTTTTTTTTCTTTTTAATTTTTCTGCTTCACTTTTTCTGCATTGTCTGCTTATCTGTAGTGAACATGTATGACTGTTGTAACATCACGAAAGGCATCTTTAGACGTTAAGAAAATGCAGTCCAGGTGTGATGATTCATGTCTGTAATTCCAGAACTTTGGAAGGTTGAAGCAGGAGGATGGGTTGAATCCCAGGAGTCCGAGACCAGCCTGGGCAACTTGGGGAGACCTTGTCTCTACAAAAGATTAACCAGGCATGGTGGCTTGTATCTGTAGTTTCAGTTACTCAGGAGGTCAAGGCCGAAGGACCCTCTGAGGCCAGGATCCTGAGCAGCCTGAGCAACAGAGTGAGATCCTGACTCAAAACAGAAAAAAGAAGGCCATGCTCGGTGGTTCAGCCTGTAATCCCAGCACTTTGGAAACTGAGGCGAGTGGATTGCCTGAGCCCGCGGGTTCGAGACCAGCCTGGGCAACTTGGCAAAATCTTGTCTCTACCATAAATTTAAAAATTAGCCGGGCGTAGTAGCACACGCCTGTAGTTCCAGCTACTTGGAAGGCTGAGGCAGAAGGATCAGCGGAGCCCAGCAGGTCAAGGTTACAGTGGCTGTGAGCATGCCACCACACTCCAACCTGGGTGACAGAATGAGACTCCGACTCAAAAAAAAAAAAAGAAGAAAGGAAAATGTATAGAATCGTTCTAGAAGAAGAGGCAAGAATCTGGTACCGGAGTTTCTTCAGAAAGCGTCACCTGGGTGACTTGGAAAAAATTAAAACTTCACCTTTATAAAACATTTTGTAGTTTTTGAATTTTGCACAGTATGCAAGTATTGTTTTAAAAAATCAGCTGGGTGTGGTGGCTCAAGCCTGTAATCCCAGCATTTTGGGAGGCCAAGGTGAGAGGATTGCCTGAGCCTGGGGGTTTGAGACCAGCATGGGCAACTTTGTGAGAATCTTGTCTCTACAATACATCAAAAAATTAGCTGGGCTTGGTGACGCACACCTGTAGTTCCAGCTACTTGGAAAGCTGAGATGGAAGGATCACCTGAGCCTAGAAGGTCGAGGCTGTGGTGGCTGTGAGCGTGCCACTGCACTCCAGCCTGGGAGACATAGTGAGACTCCAACTCAAAAAAAAAAAAAAATCAAATACAAATTTTCACCCTTTCCTCTTTTTGTTTTTTTATTATGGTAGAATTTGCATAACAACGTGAAATTCACCATCTTAAAATGCATAATTCAGAGGCATTTAGTACATTCACTTGTGCAGCCATCACCTCTTGTTGGTATCTATTTTCATCACTACAAAAGGTGACCTTTGTAGGAGACCAGAATACACCACTCCAGAATATGCGACCTTGGCATGAAGATTATTTTGAGCTGAAGGCAATTGACAAGAAATGAACACAGGAAAAGCTCTCTACTCTCCCTCTACGTGCCTAAAAGCAGGACACAAAAGTGCAAAGGTGTTCTCTTTCTCTTTCTACCAGGAAGGACAAAGGTTGGTCAACAGAGACACCTTTAGACTCTTCTCTGGAGACATCTTTTTAAAATTCTTTTTGATAGAGATGAGCTCTCACTACGTTACCCAGGCTAGTCTCAAACTCCTGGGCTCATGTGATCCTCTCGCCTCTGCCTCCCAAAGTGCTGGGATTACAGGCGTGAGTCGGTACTCCCCTTGCTAATTCTTTTGTTACAAGAATCTAGTGCAGCTAAGAACTAAGGATAGAGGGACAATTTTTTGTCCTTCCCTCCACCCTGTTCCCATTAAGGAGTTACTTAGTATTTCCCTTCCCCTACAGCCCCTGGCAACCACTAATCTACTTTCTCTGGGAAAGAAGAGGTAAAGTATATTTACCTATTCTTGATATTTCATATAAACAATATGGGACCATTTATGTCTGGAGTCTTTTACCGAGCATAACATTATTGAGGTCTGTCCAACATGCAGCATGTTTCAGAATTTCATTGTTTTTGAAACTGAATAATATTCGATGGTGTTAGGTAAACTGAGGCAAGGTGAATTGGTGCCGTGGGAATAAAGCAAAGAATTACAAAGGCAAAAGAGTTCAATTCACGTTCAAGGGAGAACGAGACTGATGCTAAGAGGCAGTGTGGTGAGGGGTTGAGGAAGGAGGACTTTTAAAGTTTTAACAAGGAGACAGGGCAAAAAGAAAATCTCCGGCAGTTGCATTCCTGCATACTGATAACACCAGTCCTGTGTTCTTGGTGTTCTCAGGGCAAATCAGTCCTGTGATTCCAGGACCTTCAGCTTCTGGTGGGCTGATGGGTGGTCAGGAAAGACTGGTTGCAATAAATTCCGACAGCTCGGTCTCACATAGCAGGAAAACAAATGCCTAGAATAGAGGAGCAGACAGTACAAGACATACTTGGGAACTGCAAAGCAATTATCAGTAGCTACCTTCAGAAAGCTGGTTCTGTCCTTGGTTAATGATTAGGAAGTGGGGAACGGGACAGACAGCTAGCAAAGTATGACAAAGCTTAAACAATCTTAAAATGACTGTTCTTGGCCAGGTGCAATGGCTCACTGTCATCCCAGCACTTGGGGAAGCAGAGGCGAAAGGATCGCCTGAACCCATGGGTTCGAGACCAGCCTGGGCAGCATAGCAAGGCCTCATCTCTACAATAAATCAAAAAATTAACCGGGCATGGTGGCGCGCACCTGTAGTTCCAGCTACTTGGAAGGTTGAGGTGGAAGGATCACCTGAACCCAGGAGATAGAGGCTGCAGTGGCTGTGAGCATGCCACTGCACTCCAGCCTGGATGACAGAGTGAGACTGACTCAAAAAAAATGGCTGTTTTTAAACTCAGTTACTCCGTCTGACTTCACCCTTTCACATAATATGAAGAGACCACATTGTGTGTGTTGGTTCATCAGTGGAAGAACATTTGAGCTGTTTCTGTCTCTCAACTACTATGAATGAGAGATGTTTGAGCATTAACGTTCAGGTACGTGCTTGAATCTCTGCAGTTCACTTCTCTGGGGTCTATACCTAGGAGTGAAATAGCTAGGTCTCCTGGGAACTCTGGGTTTAGCTTTTTGAGGAATTGGGAAGCAGTCTTCCACAGTGGCTACACCAACTTCATTCCCACCAGTACGGCACAAGGGTTCCACCTTCTGGCCTCCTTTCAACATCCTTTTTTATTGCTATAACCAACCCAGTGGGTGTGAAGTGGTATCCCATTGTGGTTTTGTTTTGCATGACTAATTCCCTTTTGCAAAATATTTCCTCTTGATTCTGTTGGTTTTTCTGTTTGTTTCTTTTGAGTAGGAGTCTCACTCTGTCGTCCAGGCTAGAGTGAGTGGCACGATCGTTGCTCACGGCAGCCTCAACCTCCTGGACTCAGGCGATCCTTTCGCCTCAGCCTCCTAAATAGCTGGGATTACAGGCATGCACCACCATGCCTAGCTATTTTTTTTTTTTTTTTTTTGTAGAAACGAGGTCTTGCTATGTTGCCCAGGCTTCTCTCAAATTCCTGAGCTCAAGCAATCCTCCCACCTCAGTCTCCCAAAGTGTGAGAATCACAGGCGTGAGCCACCGCACCTGGCTTTCCTCTTGATTTGAACTCTTATTACTACTCCCACTTAATCACTCCTTTCCAACTGCATTGCCCTTCTGTTCCTTGAAGGTGCGGTACATTCCTGCCTCAGAACCTTCGCATTTGCTGTTCCCTCTGCCCAGAATGTTCTTCCTCCAGACACCTTCATGGCTGCCTCTCTCACCTCCTTTTGATGTTGACTCAAATACATGAAATAGGTTCTTAACAAATGTCATCGCCCATAGGGCTCAGCTCCCTGCTCAAAGCTCTCTTGTGCTGCACACCGCCCTGGACAAACTTGTCTACTCCCACGATTTATTTTTATTTTTTATTTTTAGAGATAGGGTCTCACTCTGTCACCCACACTGAAGTGTGGTGGCACAATCATGGCTCTCTGTAGCCTCAAACTCCTGGGCTCAGGTGATCCTCCCACCTCAGCCTCCCGAGTAGCTGGGACTACAGGCACTCGCCACCATTCTTGGCTAATTTATGTTATCTTTTGTAAAGACAGGGTCTCACTATGTTGCCCAGACTGATCTCCAACTCCAAGGCTCAAGTGATCCTCCCACCTCGGCCACCCAAAATGCTGGGATGACAGGTATGAGCCTGTACCCAGCCCACTCCCACAATTTTCACAGCCACCTCTTCCCTGACTTCTCCCGTGTCTGTCTCCAACCCTGGACTGTCTCCTGCCTTTACCTGCTCTCTTGGACACCCTACAAGCTTCCTCAGGCTCAACAAGTCCGAGACTGATGTCAGCATTCTCCCCAAACACCTTGCTCTATGTCCCATCTCAGGAGCTGCCCTGTCATCCACCCAGTCA